TCGTGAAACTTATATGGCATTGTCTGACTTCCGCTGTTCACTAGCGCCGGGAAGCATGCGCAGATCAGGTCACCAGTGGTTACTCTTCCGTAGTATTTTGTCTTTCAAGGTTTTCAAATACTGACAACTATAAGATGATGAATCTCTCCAAGCTGTCTGTGCTGATTGCAATTGTGGTATTAACTGAAATTTTCCATTTTAGAACGGGTAAGTGTGGACGCCTAATGACTTACAATTGTGATTGCCGGCGTTTGTTCTCTAGGCGTGATATGCAAAGCTGCAAATGACTTTTGTCGACAGAATTTGTCAAGTGTTAGAAACCGATTATCAGTCGCTATAATGTGGGGTCCTTTTAATGAATCTGTACCAGATTCATTGCAAATTGACCTAGACGGATACGCGCCTTGTCCATGGTATCATTAATACGATTTGTCAAAAAGGAGCATTTTATAAGTGAGTTAAGAGGGAAGTTAAATGTCTGGCTCCCGCTAACTGTTCCTCCGAACTGAAGACATCAAGTCACCTGAAGCCAGAGATCGAACATTATCCAAATGAAGGAAGTTTTGGGCTATGATTTCGTCAAAAAAATTCTGTGGAAAGCGAATTACAGTGGGATAAACTGGAGATTCAGCACAATAAACATCCACGAACTTCCGCTTCGTCGANACTGACAACTATAAGATGATGAATCTCTCCAAGCTGTCTGTGCTGATTGCAATTGTGGTATTAACTGAAACTTTCCACTTTAGAACGGGTAAGTGTGGACGCCTAATGACTTAAAATTGCGATTGCCGGCGTTTGTTCTCTGGGCGTGATATGCAAAGCTGCAAATGACTTTTGTCGTCAGAATTTTTCAAGTCTTAGAAACCGGTTACCAATTTTATGAATCTGTACCAGATTCATCGCAAATCGAATTGACCTGGACTTCGCCTTCTTCCACGGTATCACGATTCGTCAAAAAGGAGCATTTTAAAAGCGAGTAAAGAGGGAAGTTAAATGTCTGGCTTCCGCTTTCCTCCGAACTGAAGACATCAAGTCACCTAAAGCTTAGAGATCGAACATTATCCAAATGAAGGAAGTTTTGGGCTATGATTTTAGCAAAAAAAGATATATTGCGAAAGCGAGTTACAGTGGCATAAACTGGAGACTCAGCACAGTAAGCATCCACGCATTTCCGCCTAGTCGATTTCTGAGAACTGTACCTATATGATGTTCCTAGATAAACTCCTAGACTACTTCCCTTTTTGATGCGCCGAAGGCAATACCTTTGGGATTACATTATTTCTCGCTTAAAAGACTCGATATTTGGTTGCTAACGACGAATATTTACTAAACAAAAACGACGTTTTCGAGAAACGCGACAGTGGCCGCCGACTACCGCTGTTCATCAGCAGAGGCAGGTTAAGTTTATAGACCTCAATCTTGCCTTGTGTCATAAGTTCACGTCTGATGTTTTCTGCTGGATTTCTCTGTTTAACTTCGTGCTTTTCCCAGAGCGAACTACATTCAGCTTCGTTAGTAGTCATAACCCTCGATTGATTGACCGGGTAAGAGAAGTTAAAGAATAAATTTGTCGTTGTCGCTAGTCCATTTTCCTTTCTAAGTTTCTGAGAGTGGAAATATATTTTCTTGGCCTAAAATGGGAGATGCGTCAGCAGCACACCAACAGAAGGCAGGTCACATTCGGCATGCCACAAAGTCTCTCGTTATCGAAATTAATTTTGTAACATCAGTTTGTGCAAGTATTCAAAAAAGATATAAACAAAATCAAATTTATCGCAGCATTAAGTCTTCAGGTGCCATTCTGTTTAAATGTACTTTCCTCTTCGTGTGCCACAGCTGTAAAGCAAATATCGTTTCAGTTCATC